AGCCCGAGGCGGAAGCTGCTGCATTATTCGCCAGCTGAGGACTGAGCCCGGGACTTGTAGGGCAGAAAGCTGGTGGCCCTGGCTGCTTGAGCTCCCGGAGAAGCACCTCGCTGCTGTCCACCTGTTACAAGACGCACCAGCGGAGCTAGATCCGCCCTCTCCGAATGTGCACCACACTTTTATTTTTTTATTACAGACCTTTGTTTCGGTGATATTTCATATTTGAAACGTAAAGAGTTAAGACTTTACCAAATGCATCAGAAGAACGATTATAGTACAACCTGAAGGAGAAATTTTTCCTAGTCTTTGCCAGTTAGTGATTAGTTTATATCCTGAACCATGACAGTTTATAATCTTCCTTCTATAATGTAACTGTGATGGTTGTCCCTATCCATGTAGATGTATAAATAATATTTTTTTTAAATCCTACTAAGAGCTTGGACTCTGATATATTGTGCTAATGAGTCTCATAGGTTAATTATGCATTGTGTAAAAATATTTGTTTATTAGTTTTAAATCAGTTGTTTAATGGTCAAGGGCTCAGTTTTATGTCCTGATACAGGACACTGTTCTGACAAACTTTTTAGTTTTTTTAAATGTCTGAGCAATACCATAAGCTGTTCTAAATCACATGTTTTTGCAGAGCCATCTGATGCAAGGCCAAAGGATTGGTATCTATAGCCACCTAAGAAATGCTTGTCATTATGTTCAAAAGTCCATGTCATAGAGTGGCTGTTACAATTACCACAGAACCATATCAGACAGTGAAAAGTCTTACTGCTCTTACTAATGAGAAATACTAATTATTTCATAGCACCCAAAAATGTACTAAGTGCAAAAGAGAAGCCACAAGCCAGTAATTGTGGCATAAAGATCTTCTCTCTAATCAGGTCACAGAAAGTACCAGCAGCAGCCCAAGCAAGTCCCAGAGATGGGAGGTCAGAACTGATAGGGAGTAAGAAGGAGTTCTTGAGTACTAAAGGGGGAAAGGAGGAAAGATGTTGGGGAGGGCAGAGTTCCTGGAGACCATGAGTGCAAAGAAATTAAGCAGAAATCTGAGCTTTATGGGATGCTCTTGAGGCATAAGAAGGCCTTCCAGAAGCTGAGGATGAAAGGAAAGAGGGAGAATGTGGGCAAGAAATGTGGTT